TACAGCAGAGGTCACTACTCCTCACCTAGAGCAGAGGTCACTACTCCTCACCTAGAGCAGAGGTCACTACTCCTCACCTAGAGCAGAGGTCACTACTCCTCACCTAGAGCAGAGGTCACTACTCCTCACTTAGAGCAGAGGTCACTACTCCTCACTAGAGCAGAGGTCACTACTCCTCACTTAGAGCAGAGGTCACTACTCCTCACCTACAGCAGAGGTCACTGCTCCTCACCTACAGCAGAGGTCACTACTCCTCACCTACCTAGAGCAGAGGTCACTACTCCTCGCCTAGAGCAAAGGTCACTGCTCCTCACCTAGAACAGAGGTCATTACTCCTAACCTAGAGCAGAAGTCACTACTTCTCACCTAAAGAAGAAGTTGCTACTCCTCACCTAGAGCAGAGGTTACTACTCCTCACCTAGAGCAGAGATCACTATTTCTCACCTAGAGCAGAAGTCACTACTCCTCACCTAGAGCAGAAGTCACTACTCCTCACCTAGAGCAGAGGTCATTACTCCTCACCTAGAGCAGAGGTCACTACTCCTCACCTAAAGAAGAAGTCACTACTCCTCACCTAGAGCAGAGGTTACTACTCCTCACCTAGAGCAGAGATCACTATTTCTCACCTAGAGCAGAGGTCACTACTTCTCACCTAGAGAGGATAATATCATATGAAGGAAGTACAAGTTGTGCAATTTATTTTGCATATGAAATCCCTCACTCTGTGATATAATCCCCATCCTGCTCATCTGTCACTGTGTTTTAAAAGTCTCTTGCTGCTAATTTGTCCCTGAAACCTATCTCTGAAATTCTTGGTACATCCAGCTGCACATTTACCGTGAGGCAAACAAGGCATTTGCCTAGGGTGGCAATTTTCAGGGGTATGGCATTTGGTGCTGGAGGTGGTGAGGGCGCCCAATTTATCTGCGGTGGGGGCCAGGGGGGCAGGGTGCTGGTGGTGGAGGGGGGCACCCAATTTTAGTGTTGCCTAGGGCAGCACATGAGCTAAATATAACACTGATCAGATAATAAGATCACGCATCTACACCAATAATCTACCTTTGCTGTGAGCTTTTCTAACTGCCTGCACTGGTCTACCTATGCTGTGAGCCACGGGAATACATTTTTGCAGTGGTCATTGACCCAGACTTGTATCCTTTACACTACCCACATCGGGTCTTCATACAAGCCCCCTTTACCCAAGTGCATCCATATTATGATTGTTATTTAAATGCAGGTTGTTTGGTTCATCTGATGAGTCTGATTCCCAGAGCCCTGTCACTGCCTATTGGCTGAATGAGGGTGGTCATTTGGTACGAAGGTCTGGATATCACCGACTCATTCAATATGCTCACATAAGATGGATGGTAGTTGGTAAGAGTTCTGTAAATGTAAATGTGTGTGGCCCGGGTCATATTTTAAGGAGATAATGTTATCTTATCTTATTTTAATGTGAATGGAGGATCTCTGGCCTACTTGCCTTATTACCCATTTTATGATCTCAATAAAGCTGTGAATTAAATTTACACCGTTGTTGGTTCTCCTCTTTTTTTGAGGAGTCTCTTTGATCTCCTAGCTGTTCTTTAGTAAATACAACACTGAGCCACATCCCACAATGAATTGTGGTACACTCAGCACAATGTAGCATGCACCCAGTACACTGTATCATGCAATCCGTATTCCACTTACCACATTGTAGAATGCCCCTAAAATACACTCCACATCATGAACTCCAAATAAACCCAGCACATTCACCTATCACAATTCATACCTACCTCAGAGCTTTCACCAGTGAATCAGGTTGCCAATCGTCAGTCTACAGTTAGATTGGTGCTCCTTGCCAGCAACCTTCATTTTCCCCTAGCCCTCTTACTGATATGAAGTTCCTGCCCTTTGTCTATATCACTTCTCTCCCCACTTCACAGTAGCTGACAGCTGTGCTGTAATGGATCTCGTGCCAGAGTGTTTTTCTGTGTGGTACATGCTGCCATTCTGCAGGGAGAAAGAAGACCACTAAACAGGTGAAAGACTGGGGCCAACAAACCAAGGGGTTCCTGGGTGGCATCATTTTGCACCACCACCAGCTCTTTCTCTACTAATAAGCCTTGATTACTACATATTGGCAAGTTCTAGATTAGACAGGGGAAAAGATGCCAGTTTTGGGAGATAAGAGTATTGCAATGCTGGCCTCATTCTTCACAACAGAATTGGAGCTAACTTGTCAAAGCCAACTACCTCTTGTCTCTAATAATTGGGCGTCCATGCAGTAAGAGGTAATTAACTGAAAATAAACTTTATCTAAAGCATGTTTGTAATCAAACTTCTGCTAATATGAGAACAAAATTGCCATAGATGTTGGAATCTAATTTTCTTCCAAAAAGTCACACTTCTCATTTCATTAGACATGCACATCTGTTGTTAACTGCATGGTAGGCAAACACCCTAATTACAGCCCACAGGCAGCACAGTGCCACACTGACTGTACATGGAAAGAATTAGCTCAACAGTTAATACTCCAAAATGTATATGTTTCTCCAAACACTGGTTCTTGAAGTCTTCCAATGGAACCATTTAGACAAAATTGTCACACAATTGTGCGTGAGGCAAATTAAAATGTACTGCCTTTATCAAAACATCCTTGGCAGTGTTTGCATTTAATTTTAAGAGTGAGATACCCTATTACGGTATTTAAATAACATAGAGCAGGCCTTTTTCAACTTCTGGCTCAAAGTAGCTGTCTGAGCTGCCTGAAACCAAAATATGTTGAAGAACTCATATTGCAGAGAAGTTAATAATTTTTACTCATTATTCTTCCTTGTGAGAAAATGAAAAAAAATATATATATATATATATATATATATATATATATATATATATATATACAGTGGGGATAGAAAGTTTGGGCACCCCAGCTAAAAATTTGTATTAATGTGCATAAAGAAGCCAAGGAAAGATGGAAAAATCTCCAAAAGGCATCAAATTACAGATTAGACATTCTTATAATATGTCAACAAAAGATTTTATTTCCATCATTTACACTTTCAAAATAACAGAAAACAAAAAAAATGGCGTCTGCAAAAGTTTGGGCACCCTGCAGAATTTATAGCATGCACTGTCCCCTTTGCCAAGCTGAGACCTGCCAGTGTCATGGATTGTTCTCAATCATCGTCTGGGAAGACCAGGTGATGTCAATCTCAAAGGTTTTAAATGCCCAGACTCATCTGACCTTGCCCCAACAATCAGCACCATGGGTTCTTCTAAGCAGTTGTCTAGAAAACTGAAACTGAAAATAGTTGACGCTCACAAAGATGGAGAAGGCTATAAGAAGATAGCAAAGCATTTTCAGATGTCAATATCCTCTGTTCGGAATGTAATTAAGAAATGGCAGTCATCAGGAACAGTGGAAGTTAAAGCAACATCTGGAAGACCAAGAAAAATATCAGACAGAACAGCTCGCAGGATTGTGAGAAAAAACAATTCAAAACCCACGTTTGACTGCACGATCCCTCCAGAAAGATCTGGCAGACACTGGAGTTGTGGTACACTATTCCACTATAAAGAGATACTTGTACAAATATGGTCTTCATGGAAGAGTCATCAGAAGAAAACCTCTTCTACGTCCTCACCACAAAAATCATCGTTTGAACTTTGCAAATGAACATATAGACAAGCCTGATGCATTTTGGAAACAAGTTCTGTGGACCGATGAGGTTAAAATTGAACTTTTTGGCCGGAATGAGCAAAGGTACGTTTGGAGAAGAAGGGGCACAGAATTAATGAAAAGAACCTCTGTCCAACTGTTAAGCATGGGGTTGGATCAATCATGCTTTGGGGTTGTGTTGCAGCCAGTGGCACAGGGAACATCTCACGAGTAGAAGGAAAAATGGATTCAATAAAATTTCAGCAAATTTTGGATGGTAACTTGATGCCATCTGTGAAAAAGCTGAAGTTAAAGAGAGGATGGCTTCTACAAATGGATAATGATCCTAAACACACCTCAAAATCCACGGGGGATTACATCAAGAGGCGTAAACTGAAGGTTTTGCAATGGCCTTCACAATCTCCTGACCTCAACATAATTGAAAATCTATGGATAGACCTTAAAAGAGCAGTGCGTGACAGACAGCCCAGAAATCTCAAAGAACTGGAAGACTTTTGTAAGGAAGAATGGGCAAAGATACCTCAAACAAGAATTGAAAGACTCTTGGCTGGCTACAAAAAGCGTTTACAAGCTGTGATACTTGCCAAAGGGGGCAGTACAAGATATTAACTCTGCAGGGTGCCCAAACTTTTGCAGACGCCATTTTTTTGTTTTCTGTTATTTTGAAAGTGTAAATGATGGAAATAAAATCTAACTTTTGTTGACATATTATAAGAATTTCTAATCTGTAATTTGATGCCTTTTGGAGATTTTTCCATCTTTCCTTGGCTTCTTTATGCACATTAATACAAATTTTTAGCTGGAGTGCCCAAACTTTCGATCCCCACTGTATATATATATATATACGTATTTATATATATTAATGAGAAGATAAGAGCAATCTGCTGCACACGGCAAGCTTTTTACTGTAAATAAACCAGAATATTTGGCTAAAATATATATATATATCACAAAAGGAAGCCTTATAATGTAACACAAGATATATTATCTCTCAAGACCCCCTTGTTCACTCTTGCTAAGTAGGAGATAAACATAAGTAGCTCAGTGCAAACAGTTGATCAGTACCAGATACAAACAATATGTACGATTGTCTGTTTTTATTAACATGCCAAAGACACAAAAGGTCACAGTTCTAGAAACAATCATCTCTATGAAAAGTACAATGGATCTCAGGTTTTACGCAATGAACCATATACTCCCATTTGGTAAGCAATTTATTTTAGTGCTTTGTATCTACATCTGAAATATTTATGAATGTACATAGTGTACTGCAAAATTCAGCTACAATATAAATCTAAACATTTAGTGTGCATGTGTATAACAATGTTATAGTACTCACAGGCTTACCATCTGGACCAGGTTGTCCAGGGGAACCAGGAATACCAGGCTGTCCAGGATCTCCCTGTAAAAAGGCAATTGTATGTGTTATTATATTCCAAATGTGCCCCAACTAAACAATGCAATGTTTGTGTTTCCTTAATAATATAATATTTACAAGTGTTATTAAAAACATTTTCACACTTTTTTTAAATTCTATTATTTTTATAAAAGTGCGGAAACTTTTTGAACATCCCCTCGTATAATTATAATAATTGTAATAAAGCATAGTCCATCTTATTGTACTTAAAAGAAAATTATTTCTTGGAGCTCTGCCCTAAAAAGGCAGTCAAGGGCAAATGCCCAGTCACCAGTATTACCTGCAGTCTTCCTTTTGCTAATATTTCCCCGTTATACACTCATCATTCCTTTTTCTGGGCTGTGTTGCGTTTTACTTCCTCATATCAGAGCTTCTAACAAGGAGCAAAATGAGCAGTACAGCACTGACATCACCAAATCTGACTTCAAATATCACTCAGATAGTAGTCAAAGGCAATAATAAGTTGGAGCTCACACTACACATTTACAGCTATGAAGCTGCATACACAGGAGTGCCTATGAACTCTCACATATCAAGAAGTGCGCTGCTTTTGTTTTAGGGGAAATTCCAGGCAAAAGGCACTGTTCTGCACAATTAACTAAACATGAGAACAAAATGGTCTAAATATTTCCTATAACATAGCAAACTTCTGTGTTTGGAGTTCAGTTCCACATTGCGTACCCAGCTTGGAACAAGGATACATTAGTTACTGTGATTTTACACATCCACTAATGCTGTTTACAGCTCAAAACATATACAGCAGTAAACATTCAGTATGTAAGATAAGGAAAGCTTGATAAAAGTTCCTCTTGTTTCTAAAATGTAAGTGGCACAAAGCTTAGTTTAGCAATTATATTTTCACTATTTAGTATTTAAACTTGTTGTAAACTCTAACATATGCCCAGTAAAGTGACTGGCTTCAAGTGCTACATAGGGATAAAATAAATCCTCCTACCTAAGTTGTACCTGTTTATCTACAATAATGTAAAACAGAGATAAAAAAGTTTTTTTTTCACAGAAGTACAAAGCAGGGGGCAGGGAGCTAAAGTTAAAAACTGCACAGCTCAGGGACCCCCACTCCCCTACAATCAGCACACAGGAACAATGCAGAGGTGAGGCTATCAATCACATGTCATGTGCTGGGGCCCCTTCCCTGTCACCTCTTTATCTCTTGAAGGAACAAAAACTTGTTATCAACAGAAAAGGAACTAGAAGGTAGAGAGAAATGCCACTTTGGGCTGAGACAGATACACACTATTGAAGGAAGTGCTTTGTTCATATTTCATGTCAGAGGTTTGCAACCACTTTAAAGTACATCTAAAGCTAAAACATTGTTTTTAGCCTTAGCTAGAATATAGCCAAATCAGGTTTATTTTGGTAGATCTCCCTTGTGATACTGTCCTGCAGACACAACAGGAAGTGAGGAGAAATCTATACAAAGTGATACTGCAAGAAGTGTCCCCATTGGAAGAGCTACCATTTATTCCTTTGTTGGTGACAATTCAAAATTATGGATTTTTCCTTAGTTTTCAATTTCCATGATATAGAGAACGTGAATCTCCCCAGCATGGGAACAGGCAGTAAAAGCAACAGGCCCCCATATCTACTCTATCCAAAATCAAACCAGAACATTTTTGCTTTTATTACATTTTAAGCATTTTAAACGACATAACTTTATCTGGCATTGAATGAAGTCCATAACCTGTGATCCCACCTTTTCAGAAGCAGTATAGTCTTTTGCATTGGCAAGCACAAATGTATATTCATTCCTGCCAAATTGAGCAATCATTTCTATTGTTACTATGCGGTTGCTTTACTGTGTCAAGCAAGTGAGGTTCTAAAGCTGAAAGTTCTGTTTATACACAGATCTATCAAATGATAGCATTACAGGAATCTGTAATGCAGTTTGGATGTCGCCAAAATTATTATTATACAGGATTTATATAGCGCCAACAGTTTGCACAGCAGTTTACAAAATAAAGGCAGACAGTACAGTTACTGTACAATTTAATATAAGAGGAATTATAATTTGAGTTTATTTGCTTCCCTAGTAAGAACACTAAGAACACTCTTAGCAGTAATTTGTTATTAGAGTAATACCTAGTACACACGATGAGAAAATCGTATGAAAAATTCCACTTTTGAAGCAATCGTACAATAATCTGAAAGGGAGAAGCACGAACATTTTTCTTGTACAATATCAGATTGTACGATTTTCATTTAATCAGCATAGTTTTGTCTGAAAATACAATACAAATACATTACATCACTTCTGAATTTTCTTTCTGTAGTACAATAATTTTTGGAACTTTAGTAACCTCTTCACTTTCGAAATGAGACTAGCATGAAAAAAAAAATGGACTGATCATTCTTCCAATGTTCTCATCGTGTGTAAGGGGCTTTAGGATGGGGAAATGGCTGTCAGAATGAGGAATGAAATCAGTTTAAAGCTGAACTTCAGACTAACAGGTAAATATGAATTCGCCAATAGATAACAATAGACTAAGAGCCTTTACCACTAAGCAGGTGTGTGTCACTATATTGGCAGTAATTCACAGCCAGGTTAAAGGTAGGTTATCCATGCTTGCAGTGATTTTTATTCAACCAGGTGTGTCAGAGGGGGCCAAGGTTGTTCTTGGAGTTGAGGCACAGAACATGTGACAAGGGGACCTTAGATTGTAAATTCCTTGAGAGCAGGGACCAATGTGAATGTACAGTATGTAAAGCACTGCATATATTGATGACATTATATAAATGCCTGCATAAACACATTAACTAAATAAAATCTTGTATTATTGAATACAGGGCTGAATTTTGCGTATTTCTGCCTACAGTTCAGCTTTAAATAAGAACTCCAAACTAGTGCATCATTTAATCTAATTATATGTCCATCAAAACAAATTATTCCTTTTATTTTTCATAAAACTACCATTAGTACTGTAACCACATGCCTACCCTTTCCGCCCAGGTCAATTTTCAGCTTTCAGTATTGTTGTACTTTGAATGACAATGCGTGGTCATGCAACATTGTACCCAAACTAAGTTTTCATCTTTTTTTTTAGATAAATAGAGCTTTCTTTTTGTCTTAAAGTTGTTCTTAGCTTCTGTTAAAAACATTTGTAAATAAGTGATTTTTCTCCTTCACTAATGTGCACTGATGATCAGTGTAGATTTCCCCCTGAGAAATGCCACTTACTGGCTCACCTTACTTCCCGTGCTATCAGCGTGAGAAGAGGACTGCAGATAACCAACATTTCCTGTTTACATGTGATCAGCTGTGATTAGACACAGCTGGTCACATGTAAAAGGTGGCTCTTATTGGCCACCTACTTAGACACGTGATCAGGGGTTGTGCAGGGGGTGTGGTTCTGCGAGGATGTCCATGGATGCCCCCCCAGACCTAGCCAACTGCACTGTATCTGTCTTTTGGCTATCAGTCAGGAAGTGGTTAATCCATCTATATACCAGCCCCTTTAATGTACTGCAGAGCAATATTCACACTGGAAGAGGAAGGGATATTGCTTTGCAGGGTGCTGTTCATCTCCCCTTTTGAACATGTTTACAGGAAGGGATAGAGAGCTCTTTCCTCATTAATGCTGCTGACAGTTTATCCAGTCAACAGGTGGGAGATTGGCTGGTGAAGGTAGAAAACTGAGGTCACCAACCTACCCATACTGTCTAGAAGATATATCTAGATCACTAGGATATTTGAACAGAATTACATATATTTTTGAGGGTAAGGAATTAGGATTTTTTTTAACTACGTAGTATGCTGTATTTCTGGAGTTTATCTTTAAGAAGGTGATAGCTTGCCCTTGCAGAGTCAATACTTGCATTTCTGAAAATAGTACATCAATAGGCTGTGACCAGGGGCGGACTGACCATTTGGAAGCTCGGGCACTGCCTGAGGGCCCGGGGTCAGTAGGGGACCCCATGAGATGCTTCTGGTACCTTTTTCATAGGCTTTTTTGAGTTTGGACAAGGACACAGGGGCCCCATGATCCCCTATTGCCCGGGGGCCCCATGAGTTGTCAGTCCGCCCCTGGCTGTGACAGTGAAAGAACACTGACAGTAAAGGTATACCAAGAGCCAACAACAAGATAAGAATCTACCGCTAAGCACAACACATGATGTGGTAACAACTAAATTTTAGTTGGGATGAATGGTGATTTATTAATTATTTGTATGCAAAAAAAGAGCTTTACAGTTCATTACAAGAAAAAAAGCATCTTCTCATGTACAGTGAAAAGAAGTTCTGTCCATGCAAACATAGGTAACATGAGTCAACAAAACATTTCAGTAAATTTAGTTTTGGCACCCCTCTATAGTCATTGAAATGGTACTAATGCGGATGCTAGGCGGGACTGAATAGAACACAATTGCCATACAAACCCACCCAATCACACCTACCTCCCAAGCCCTGGTTGTACTAGACATTCTCCCTCCAAGAAACACATACCTTCTTAGCCCTCCCCTTTTACTGCCCTCATCAACACCCAGAACAGCCATGAAACTACACTTTTCCAAAGCCTCAACATGTAGTTTCAGGGCATTACATGGGCAGCAAACAGCAACCACCTCCAGAGGCCATCAACTTTTAAAAAGCTATGATGCCATGGGTAATTTAAACAGCTATCAATGGTACTAGAATCATGAACAGAGAAATTTAACATTGCAGATGTACTGGTGGTCTGGAGAGATGATGATCCTGGAATTGAGTTTTTAAATAACATATTAGCTATACAGAGAGTGCATTGTTTGAGTTAATTCACAAACATTATGTGGCACCACAGAGCGGCAAGCATACCCTGAATAAGAAGACAGGTCATGGCTAGGGCGGGTGGTGGGAGATTTGACATTGACCTTTCTTTATAAACTATACATAGGTCCTGGTGAGACACATGAGGAAACAACCCGGGAACTGCTATACAACCAAACACCCGAAACTATTAATGTATGGAGAGCGTAAACATATTCATGATCTAATCAGGAGAATTACTTATTCATATTTTTTAATTTTCTTGAATATCTGTTGAAAATCACAACCCAGGAATCCAGACAATAAAACATGAATTTTGTAATTCTCTGCAGATTCGAAAAATCATGTTACGCATTCAAAATATTAAATTTACAGAAAAACTGCCAACTAGGACCCTGCAGACCTTTTCAACATTGTGTAACTATATATTATTATCCAGGACCATGAATGGAATATTTGTTAATTAAAGACATTTTGGTTATTTGTGATGTGTTCTCTTTAATGAGCAACACTGTGTGCATTGCAGGGATGTGCCAATCATTGAATAGGGGGAGGAGACTTCACTTGGCTATCTGTTTGATGGCACAGTTTTTTATACAAATAGCCAAACTCCTTGGAAAAAAAGTAAAAGGTACAAAGGATATGATGTCACCTTTATACAGCTTTGACAGGACTACAATAGATGGATTCAAGAACATCTTTACTTCACTTTACTAGGACTCCCAAAAGACCCTCTGAAGGAATTTTGGGAATCTAGAGACCTACTGCAGTACAAAAATGTCTGAATGAAAATGGAAGTCCTCAGCAAGTATGTTTTGGTCTCATTATGCATTGCAAGGCTTGTTTCCAATAAAAAACACTTGCAAGCATGTAAATAATTTCTAGAACATTTTAGATGTGCAACTTAACATACCCAATATACTGAAATACGGGAAATGGTAGTGAGATAAATACACACACACACACACACATGTTGAACTGGTTGTCTTTCTTCAACCTTAGCAACTATGTAACACATGGGAAACAAACATTTTTCATTGGGAAGTACCTTTAATTTGCAATACTAAAATGATTTAAGACATTTTCCTATCTCTACTTGATCCTTTGACACGCCTATGAATTGCTGCCATGTATAGAGATTCTCACAAATACTCAGTGATAAAGTTCTACTTACTTTAAGTCCAGGAGGTCCTTTTTCCCCAGGAGGACAAACACAGGGAGCAGGTGTTGAGCCAACATCACTTGGACCATTTAAACACTGGGAAGAGAGTGAGGAAAAATATATTTCCAAATGAATATTTCAGCTCTTTCAGGTTTCATATTTTAAACTTATTGTGCTTGGTTCTTTTATGAAATTTTCCTTTATTTGTGTTTAAATATAATCTGCAATTGTTGCTCTTTGCATGACTACTCTTGCATTGCACAGAAATCATACTGAAAAGCAGTAGCAATGGACTTCAGTTCAAGCAATGCTAACAACTATAACACACAAACCATCTTAAACCACTTAAACTTTAAATTTGTTTACCACTGCAAACAATAGATAACAATGTGTCTGATAAATAATGGAAAAATGATGAGGAACATTGATTGTCAGTATAATAAATACTGATTTTTTTTTTTTTGAACAGACATAATATGGGATCATTTTGGAAAAAAATAAAAGTTACTTCCTTCATATTCCATTGAAGTGTCCTGTGAATCTCAGCACTTTCTAACACTTCATTAAGGAGAGAAAGAGAGAATTTTCCAAGCTCTTAATAATCTTTTAGGCTCATTGGCAAAACTGCACTGCATGAGCACTCCTAAAAAGCTTACTTTCCCTCTATATAGCTGTAATAATCAACTATCTCAATTTAAAATTAATGACAAGCTTGGAGAAGGGTAAGCAGTCCACTCACAGCTTGAAGAAGTAATATAAAAATAAACCTTATAAAAACGATATAGAACTCCGGGGCAGATTCCAGGATGTTGTTATTAACTGCTTGTAGATTGCAGGTTGACTAAAGAGGAATGTGGAACATCATTACTTTGATTAAAAAAACTTTTTCCAAAAATCTCAAGTGGCCAATTTGTGCAAGGAATGTTCATAATTAGAGGATTTGGATTTGTACAGCTTCTCTACGTGCAATCACACTGCAATGGTCCCAAGCAGATTAGAGATATCCAGAACTCTCATTGTCACAAGACATTCTTCTGTCTTTGGCTAACTATAACTGCATTTTCTCTAAAAACAAAACATTTGTCTCTGTAGCCTATAAAAAATGCTAACAACGCGTTACATTAATTGAAGGAAAATCCTATTTCCAGCAATGTGCTCGAACCCCTGTATTTGTATCTATCTTTGAGGGGAAACAAGCTGTTACTGACCACCATGGGCCAAATGAGTAACCTTTCTCCCAGAAATGGATTATTCAGCACACATCATGATGTACTCAGGCAACATTGCTAAAGAGAGGATTTCACAGTCTGTACTGAATGGTACTCATATGCTTCCAGATGTGTGATTCCTGACACAAAAAGTATGTGACTATAATTTTCAAACCTCATTGCACTCAGCTGAAAATAAGGATCTTTATCCTGGATGTTAGCTCAGTAAATTGAGCCTAATGTGTGTATATGACAACTGAAATTTATCATATAAGGGAATGCAGCCTGTATGCATTGGTTGATGCACATCTGCACTCATACTACACCACATGCTGATATGCATCTTTAGAGATGCATACAGTAATTCATGTGCAATGACCAAAAAAAAAAAATGCCTAGAAAAATTTCAGCACATTTGTTCCTTGATAAAAAGGTGTTAGCAGAACACGATAATATGAATATATTGAGTGCAGTGAACAAAGCAGGTAACTGTTTGTATTTTTTTTTACCATTACCTGTAATGTTTTTGTCCTTTCATAGTCAAACAAAAAATATTACCTTGTTACTGCCTGAAGTAAGAAACAACATACCTCCCCATTCTGCAACAGAGAAAAGCAACAAAACATTATTGTACATTTGTACATAAAGAATATATACATTACCATTTTATTTTACACCTTATTGCTGACGGTAACCAAAACAGTGAAAAAATATATAAAACAAGAGCAAATGTATATTAAGTTAAACTCCTAATTTGTGTGGGATGCCCCCGCCCCCCCCCCCCCCCAACAGACAGAAGTTGATTGACTCTGCTGTGCATGTTTCCCTATGAAATGGTGTAGATAAGGGTGTGTTCAAGCCCTCCACTCAGGTTTCAGATTATACTCTCTATGATCCCCTCTCTATGCTGTGCAATGTGTAATGTTAGATCCTCACCCCCTGGCTTTTGTTGCTGAAGAAAAACCTTTGATCTGTGTGTTTTTGGAGAGTATAGAGGAGACAGGGCTGCATATAAACAGGTACAACATATGTTGGAAAATTTGCTTCATCTCTGTCTATCAACTGAGACTTGTCACTTCACTGAGTATATATAAGGGTCTACTTTAAAGTGATATTCAAGAATAATAACAAACATGTCATACTTGCTCTGTGCAGTGTTTTTGCACAAAGCAGTCCCAATGCTCCTCTTTTTTGGGTCCCTCGTCAGCTTTCCTGGGTCCTCTTGCAGAGTGCGCCCTGAGCGAACAGCTTGCTATGGGAGCTCCCAAGCCCCTGTTCTTCATGTCCATTTACATACAGAGCATGTCTCAGACCTGTCCCCACTCTCTCCTCATTGGTTCACTGGCTGTGATTGACCTTGGCTCCTGCTGCTGTCTCAGCCAGTGAGGAGGTAGAGTCCCGGAACAGCTGAGGCACTAATGCATATCACTGGGTTCAGAAAGGGCTAAGAAAAGTATTAGGGGGGCTGAGGGGGCTGCTGCACACAGAAGGTTTTTTTTACACCCATAAGACTTTACAACTAGTGATGGACTGAACACCTCTTATTCTGTTCATTCAAACATAACAAAAGTTTGACTGTGAACTTTGAACAGAGGGGATAATTTACTAAGCGGTATCTTACCGCACCTGAGTATGCGGTAAGATACCGTACACTTACTAAAAACATTTTTTATTGTTTCAGCTGTCAGCGGGGTTTAAAAAGAATTGGTGGCTTTGCCTGGCAATTAAAAAAAAAAGTGTGGAGTCACCCCAAACTTTTTTTAAAAATGGCATGTGGGTCCCTCCAAAATCTATACCAGACTATTATCCGAGCATGCAGCCCAGCAGGTCAGGAAGGGGGGGGGGACGAGCGAGCACCCCCCCTCATGAATCATACCAGGCCACATGCCCTGAACATGGGGGAATGGTTTGCGGCAGGGGCTCCCCCCAAAGCACTTTGTCCCCATGTTGATGGGGACAAGGGCCTCTTCCCCCACAACCATGCCAGAGGTAGTTGTGTAGGTCTGCGGGTGGGGAGCTTATCGGAATCTGGAACTCCCCTTTAACAAGGGGGCCCCCAGATCATGGCCTCCCATCCATGTGAATGAGTATAAGGTACAAGGTGCCACTACCCATTCACAAAATAAAAGTGAAAAAAATGTCCTCCAAAGTAGATCCAACAACAATCATGATGCCTGCTGTCACTGCCGACCCAAAAAAAGAAAAACGGTCCACTCTTTATGCTGGCTCCTGTGCCGGGATGACAGGTCACCCCCACCCCCCCAGTGGCGTCATCATGACCTCTGGTCAGCTGCATTGCTTTGGCCAATCACAACGCACTGTCATGGTGCAGTGCATTGTGGGCGTGGTGGGCGAACACACAAACATACAGCCCAACACTATTTACAACCACTTTAAAGGATAATATGACAAAGGTTCTTCATGCCAAATTGTTAGCTCTAGTACATGACAGAGCAACTCAAGAAATGTACTGCTAATACTATCCATAAAAAATGAAATGGTGTAAAAGTTTACTTGATTTACTTTACATCCCATTTTTACCTAATTCTTTGAAGCCAGGATCACTGAGACTAATTTCAGTTAAGGCAAACATCCAGTTATTAAATAATCCTATTTCTTCAATGCAATTATTGTAAACAAAGTAACCACTAATATAATTATCTACTACACCAAAATTGCTCAAGCCCTTTTGATAAAAAAGGATGTAGCACGTATCCATACCTGCAAAAAACATATGACCAGCACCAAATGTAATAGCAATGTGATACCAAAAAGTGGCACAATAGACTAAACAAGTCCAAGAATAATGTTAAAGAAATGTCCCAACACATTTGGAAGCATCAGAAGAGCAAACTGAATGTAGTACCACATCCTTTTACATGTACAAAGAAAGTCAAAGTGCATAACAACTTACATTTGTGGTGTGAATTATAGTATTATGTTACCAGGGATGAGCCAATTGTTTTTAGTGTGATTCCAGGTTCGGACCAAACTTTGGCTGTTCTGGCATTCGGATGAATGCCCGAATGCTTGCCTGTTTGTCCCAGTTCAGTGGGAGTCAAGCATAGAAAGCGTTTTTTTTCTACCACTTCAATATGTGACAGCTTCTCACTGTCAATGGTTCCTAAGGAATCAGTGGGTACTTGCACCCACCATGTCCCTAGCAAGCACCGTCATCACTTGCACATTTGCTTACATGGCCAGGAATCCCCAGACATGTAAACAAAGTGCTGGGGATACTACCCAAATAAGTGTGTGGCCCCAATACACAATGTCACACCAGAAATTAATATAACAGAGGTTGAAAATATACTAATGCTCTTCAAAGAGATAGGAATTCTTCCTTTTATTGCATCATCACCAAGAAACCCTCAGCTTAAGCACTGCTGCTGTCCAAAGTCAAAAATACATACAATATTGTGAAATGATGTAGCACCAGTGAATATAACAAAAGCACACAACATATATAAATAGTGATCAATGTGACGATCATGAAGTCTCCCTTATATCAAAGTCCTTATATAGGTGTCCGTTAATGAAAGAGAGAAAAGCTGAGATCCTGATGATCACTGCTAATCTCTCAGGTGTGCCAGTTTATGAAGCGGAGGAGCGAAGAACATTTTCTTCTCATCACAGGACACACCCTTCTGTCATGAACGTTTATAGAGCTGGCCAGTTTATGAAGGTTAGTTCTGGAGATCTCACTGGCCATCTCTTTAAAATATCTCCATGTGTCACATGCCTGATGAAAATGGGTCCTTCGAGACTCCGAAACGTTGCCTTGCTGTAACTATGTGTTCGTTCATTAAAACTTTTGGACCCATATTGGTGATCCTCGGTGTGCTGGTGACATTCTCCCTTGCTGATTCTGTTCAGTTCCAGCCAATGGTCGCTGCAGCACCCACTTAGACACACAGCCATTTTTAACGCAGGAATGTGTGCGTTTGGATTGTACTCTTGCATTGAAAAAACACACAACACTCCATGCCCGAAAAAGGTTCAGTTTGGCTTTTTTGGTCCTTTTTAATGCACATTTTGGTGCAGTTTTTTAACAAACATTTTGCTACTTTTTCAACACACATTTAAAGAAAAAATGTGAGTTGAAATTTTTATGTGCATTTTGGTGCTTTTTTTAATATGTATTTTGGCAAATGCAAATGTTTTTTGTGTGTGTTCTGGAAACGCATGCAAAATGCATGCCATGTTTGTGGTGCCATTATTTGTTAATGGCGCCCAAAAGTTTGCTAGCAGATGTGCAGTTTGCCAAAATATGCATAAAAAAACAAATCAAAATGCACTTTAATAAAGTGGCAAAATACATGCTAAGAAAAGTGCCAAAATGTGTGTTACAAACCACACCAAAATGCATGGTAAAATAACCTGTGCCAAAATGTGCGTAAAACACCTAAATGTGTGTTTAGAAAAGCACCAAAATGCACATTAAAAAAAAAACCACATCAAAATGCATGTTAAAAAAAATACAGCATGTTAAAATACAGCAAAATGCACATAAAGTAATGCTAAAATGCACAATAAAAAGGAGCCAAAATACACATTTAAAGAATGTGCCAAAATGTGCATTAAAAAGTACCAGTGGTCAGTGTTTTTATTATTTTTATGTCACTGCATGGCCTTTTTAACTTTGGTTTCATTGTTTAAACTCAGGTGATCTGTAATCACACAATTATCTCAGGAGATCACAGGCAGCCCCCCCCCCCCCCCCCTTCTACACAGATCTCAGCTGTTCTCCTTTTCTCCTTCTGAGAATAAATGTTCTCTGCTTTATAAACAGGGGGACAGAGGAGAAGATTTTTCCCTGAGAACTGAAATGAGATAAATGATCTCTGCTTAATAAACATACACCATACTCAGATAAAAAAGATCTTCCACCATCCAGTAGATCCTTGTAGTGTAATGAAAATACAGAGTGCCACCACCCTAATCAAAAGCACGCTCACCAGACTATGATCTGCAATAAATACAGCAAACACAGCATGTTTCTTAGGCACAAATCTTCCACAAGTGAATGCACTTCCACTCTGGAATCCCTCCTCTTAGCAGCAAAAGGCAATTACCACTGGAAGAGATAGAGCTCATCAAGGAGCCAACAGAAAGCCAGTGATAGTGTTGTAGTTTAACCTCTTGGCGCCCACCAAACGCAAATATATGGCCCCTGGCATCTGGGCCTAGACGCCGAGCAGCTGCACATTTGCGTTCTATTAAAAAAAAAGCATATGTGCTTAAAGCACGCGCCCTGTGTGCTCACAGCACACACATTCATTCGATACTCACAGAAAGGTCCCTATCTCCTCTTTCGATTGGGACTTTTCCCGATCTTGTGACCACTGTGACAGCGAATCACGGCAGTCACATGACCCTAAAACCCTGCCCTGCCTCCAGGCTTCTGGAACCCTTAAAAGGCCAGGAGGCGCCGGCGCCAAGGGGTTAAATAAAGGCCTATTGTAGAACAGAGCCAGTCATCCAGTTAAAACAATGCAACAGTGAAAAAAACAGTAAAAATTCACGGAGAGTGCCACTAATGACCCAGAATCATGCCATGGTGTGATGTCAACACTGAGACTCAGAGTAATGCAGGCCATAGACGGGTCGAAAACCAGCCGTTAAAAAAAAAAAAAAAAAATTCGGGCCGTTCAATAGGCCGACGTTACCACCAATGGTAAAAAAAAAAACGTCCGATTTTTCGTCCCGTCTACGGCCGGCATTTAATTACTTCTGTCCCTTTCAGAGAGCTCCGCTATTATATTTGACATGAAAAAGTATTGCGGTTGCAACAAAGTATCCATTTGTATCAATTTCGGATACAGATGTTTTTATTCGGATACAAATAGATACATTGTTGGAACCGCAAGACTTTTTCATGGCAAATATAATAGTGGTCTGGAATTCTTCTTTTTCTTCTTCCTTTTCTTCTTCTTTTTCTTCTTTTTCTTCTTCTTCTTCTTCTTCTTCTTATTTTTCTTTTTCTTCTTCTTGCAGGTCACTGCTCATGCGCAGATTTTTTTATCGGTAAAACGATCGGCCGATTTGCCCATCATTGCCAGGAAAATCGGGCGATCGGCAAAATCGGACGATTTTTTTCCAACTTTACTGATAAAAGAAAGGTGCCAAAACCCCGACAAACGGCCGACCAATTAACCCACTAATGGTGCGAAAATCGGCCGATTTTTTTTTGACCCGTCTATGGTCTGCATTAGGCTACAGCGAGAGTTGCCTTTTGCTGCTGCCTAAGAGGAGTGATTCCAGCTTGGAATTGCATACACCTGGGGAGGATTTGTACCTGAGAAACATGCTGTGCCTGCTCTGCTTGTTACAGCTTTTGGTCTGGTGAGTGTGTATTTGATTAATGTGGTGGCATTAGGTGTTTTTGTAACACTACAAGGATCTACTGGATGGTGAAAGATCTTTTTTATCTGAGTATAAATGGACTTTGATTTAAGAGAGACCTCACATTTGGCACATTGAACACTGCTTATTTACTTGCATGTTTTTGTTATATCCACTGGAGCTGCATTTACACTGCACGATATTGTGCATTTGAAGGTTTGGGTATATCAAACTTTGTTTGCCAGTGGCCACACGTGTTATCAAAGAGCAGATTCATTACAAAACATTTATCACCAGCGCACATAGCCTGATGTAAAGCAAGTTTGCTGATAACTTTTATTTTGACTATAGTTCTATTTATGTGAACACTGGTAATCTGGAATACAGTGTAAATTAACTTTCATGTATATATACTGTATTTAGAAAATCACACCCTAACCAACCAATATAGAAACATTAATCCGTAAAATAAAAGACTACTAAATCGCTAAATCTTACTCATGTTAACACTATGCAGGAAACACTTCAGAACATCATGTTTCTAGTGCTTCTGACATGTAAGCAAACAATAAGATTACAGGTTAAAAATAATTTCCTGGTTAGAATCCAAAGGAATTAGAATAATATTTGTTGAAAGCCAACTGTATCTGGACAAATGTGGAAGCTAATCTTGTATTCTCTACTTGTCATTTTGTTACATTGCACAGTGGCATTGCTATGGGGGTGCGGGTGTCGTGTGGACCTCACTGGAGTGACACCCGGGTGACCCCAATGGTGAGAGAACACACAGAACTGTCAGTACAGAAAACTCAGCTCCTTCCCCAGACATTAATTCCCATTAATTCTGCCAGCTGCTGGGAATTATCGAATATTACGTGGTCTGCTCACCTGAGGCCACACACAGGGTCCAGCAGCAAGTACCGACTCGGTACAGGTTAATACCCCCCCAGACCCACCTCCATTCGCAGCAAGCCCAGCCCCCGATGTGTCTGCCTCAGCCAAAGACTGGTGTGATCCTGGTTATTTCAGTGCATTTACACTATAGCCTCGCCCCAGGAAACAGCAAGCTCTCAGGTGCTGATTGCTCAGGATGGGCCGATAGGAGGCTGTGCTGGGCCATGCTATCATACATCATCCGAGCTCTCAGAGGTAGTCTCCCAATAAGAGGTGGAAGGCCGGGTGGATCTGTCACCCCGCCACTAACCCACATATGTGCGGCCCAATCAGCAGCCCGTGTGCTTCTGTAGTTACCTGTCTGGTGTAGAGGTTACCTGGGTGTATGTACACACTAAATTAGGGGAAGATTGGATGTGGGAGCTGAGAGGTTAGCATCTGTTAAATCATATTCTAGTACAATAGGATTTTTGTACTGAATTTCATACACATGAATGATGCCCCTTTAGATCTCTGTCAATTCACACGAGAACACATGTGAAAAAGGAACATTCTGTGCATTTTTCCTGCACAACACGGAAATGCGCTGCCCTTGCAAGATGCATTCATATGCCATTAATTGTTAATGACACCCAAATGCACTGTTGCAGGCTACCAGGGGGGACACCATGTTTTTTTGCACCAGGTGACGCCAACCCTAGTGATGCCACTGACACTGTACAGTATATAGGCATTCATATAATGGCTCCAGCTTTGGTATGCACCCTGCTTCTAAATGATGAACATAAAATAAATTGTATGCATTTTCATGACAATATAAGATAAACATGTTCTTACAATTCCAGGAATCTCACAAGCTGTCTCACGTTTGTTCTGTTCTGGATCACAATATATTCTCAGCTTTTGAAGTGTAAACTGTAAAACACAAAAATGGCATAAAATATTTCAGTTTTGTTTGTTAATTTGTAAAAATGTAGAACATTTTCAGTCAGTGGTAGATTAGCAACTGATTCTAGATTCCTGTGCTTTTTGATCAATTTTTATGGCCATTTTATGCACAAGGTTTAGCTATTGCCTTATTCAGCATTTCTATTTTTTCACACTAATATAGTCAACTTATTCAACAAGACCTAACAATGTACATAAAACAGCCACATCAGTCATTGGCCCAGTGAGTAACAGACCACCATTCACAGATGCCGATTAAAGCCGTCCAAGCAGATATAAAAACACACCAATCAATGCATTTAGGCATTCATTAAAAAATAAAGAAATATTTGCATTTACTATGAATTCTTGATTTTCACACAGTATCAGTTTCTTGTTATCCTCTGTACATACATTGGAAAAGTGACCAAGAGGCAGCACCAACACCCAATCAAGTATACTTCATGAGCATATGCTGACAAGGAACATACCAACAAGAGGTGAGAGCAGTGAAGATATACAGATGTTGCTACTCCATCACTGTCCAATCACAAGCTGAGGGCTGGGAGGTGACCTACCTTTATTGCTTAATTTTAGCAGAGAAACGTGAGGTCCGACAGTAAAGGCTGGCAGGGTGGTGTAAATCTCAGGCCTGATTGGTCCAAATTAGAAATCATTTGACAGGTAAAATAGCTCACCTACTACTCTTAAGAGCCCCCAGTCCTTATGCAAGCAGCGGAATGGCTCCTGGGAGGAGGTTCTTGCAAATAACTAACTGCTTTCATGGATTGATACCAGTCTGGAAGTTCTGGCATACCTTTGCATGCAGACTGCCCCAGGTGACATCCATATTATTATTATTATTATTATTATTATTATTATTATTATTATAATAATAATAATATTAAGAATAATAATAATATACAGGATCTATATAGCACCAACAGTTTGCACAGAACTTTACAATATGTGATTTTGAGCATGCAAACGCCAATGAATGAAAAGGGCAGGCCAGGGACAGTAAGGCTTGGTAGAAAAGGCCTAAATGATATTGATTGTCTTCCAACCAGGAAATGAGGTGAGCACTATCTGCAGATTCTAATGCACACTGTGAGAATTTCACAATGGGGTGTATTTACTAAAGGCAAATAGACTGTGCACATTGCCAGGTGCAGTTGCTCCAGAGCTTAGTAAATGAGGTAAAACTTCACTTTATGGACAATACCTAATCACATGCTAGGAAAATTAAAAAAAAAACAGCATTTTTGCTTGCACATGATTGTATGATGGAAGTCAGTAGAGCTTCCCCTCATTTACTAAGCTCTAGAGCAACTGCACTTGCAGAGCACAGTCTATTTGCCTTTAGTAAATCAACTCCTTTGCATAGCGGAATTATAGTAACCAAATTCAGTACAGGACAGGGGCCTGTACAACAGTGCAGGGCTGAAGGTAAAGCCAATGTTCAGCTTTAAATCAAGCCATTTCTAACTTTTCTAGCTGCTTTTATTGTGAAGTTATTCATTTTCAAAGATTCTGAAATTTAGTTTTCAGTTGGGGCTTACTGAACAGCTGCAGTGTTTTTTGTGAGCTGGCATTTGCTACTGTGGGGCATTTTTTATTTTCTGTACTAATATATGAACGATTCACATGCTGCCCGTTGGTTTCCAAGGTCTTTTGTCTCTGTCAGTCCTTTGTGTGGCCCCATGATGACATTTGCCTTTCCTCAGCTCCTTGAACAGACACCCTGTGGCAACCTTCTTGTAATCAGTAACCACTTATTACCACTCCCTCCTTTTGGAATTGGATTGTTCTTCAGCTAAATATTAACTCTCCTGATCTGGTGAATGGAGATTCACGAAACGTGAGAAAAGGTTTCAAAAAAAGATTGCCAATGATGTAGTCCAGTCATCTACAGATGTTTGTTATTATTCGTTAGTTATTAATGATGAGAACACCCAGTTATTGACAATAGTGAATTTTGAGTATTTTTAATGTGTTCTGAATATGGTCAATATATATAATAAAGTATTTATGTTTTTTACTTTGTTTATACATCATTTTCTGGCATTTCTTGGGACAGTTCCTTGGGCATCTTTTATATGTACATTAGGAACAATACCTAATCACATGCAAGGGAAATTAAAAAAAGTCAGCATAGCTTCTCATTTACGAAGTTCTTGAACACCTACATTTGCAGAGCACAATAATCAACCCAACTGTGTAGTGAAATCATAGTAAGAAATTTCAGTACAGGGTTGGGTCTGTACAACTGTGCAAGACTGAAGGTAGAGCCAAAGTTCAGCTAAATCAAGCCATTTCTAACATCTCTAGCTGTTTTATTATTATTCATTTTCATTCTCTTCCGGGCTGTCCTATGCCTGTTTGTTGCCCAAGTTGGAGAAGCTGTATAGCTACGAAAGATATGCCTTGACCTATTTCCTAAACATTTTTGTGAGTTCTTTTTGATCAAATCTGTTGAAGCATTTTAACTTCAGCTTGTTCATTTAAGCTTTGACGGTAAAAATAAAATAACGGTAAAAACTAGAAGCTGGCTTCTATGCAGAGGTGCAACAGATTTTACATGCTCTAGTTTTAGTAAATAACTCCCATATGTATATGCAGTAAAGCATGCTTGTTATACTCACTGTGGAATCTAAGGGGTTAATCCTCTGCATTGTGTAAAAAGGCTATTTGATCCTGTCTTCTCTGATCCTCCCCTTCTTCCAGTGCCCCTCTCTTATCTCCTGATAAGATATTTCCTGTGGAGTCACTCTGCACATGCTCAGATTGATGTGTATTGCTAGAGAGGGTTTTTTTCTTGGGAGAGTGCATGTGATCAGCACAGGGCCAATCAGCACTGTCCAGTCAAAGGTCAAGGGTCTGCATCCTCCTACAGCAGAAATAAAACTCCTCCTATAGGCTTTAACCAGTGCTCTGCTGAACACTGATAGAAGTCACAAGACTGCTCTAACTGCGGATGAGAAAAGGTATTTATCAGTTTATATTTACTAAAATAATTGCATTTCTACGTTCTGTGTGCTGTGGGAAACCAGATATAGTGAATGCAGGGTTCTGGGTTTAGTAACACTTTAAGGGGTTAAAACTGTTACTGTGTATTCAAATGGTAAAAAACTGTTACTGCCACTGTTCAAGTATGGACAGTGTTAGAAATGGTCTCAACTCTCACAGTGACTATCATCACATTATGTAACTGAACAGTTTTCAGAATGCAATGGTGGTCGTGATATTGGTCCTTTAAATTAACTACCACAGTTTATTGTTTCATAAGGAATTAATTTTGTTTGCCCTTTGTGGCTTATAACATGCACATAAACATAAGGATGCTTTCAGAGCACACTTCACCCTGCCAAAATGTTTTCCCTGTGCTTTCAGGGGCCTCTGCATTTTACTCACTGATAAGGGTAAATATGTTCACAGCCCTAAAAATAAAATGCAGACTAGGAATGGCTAACCAGAACACTACAGAATATAGTAAGACTTACAGAAGGAAAGTCCTGAACAACTTGTATATCATAAAATACACAAATGAACAAGACACTTTTATTCAGTTCTGAAGGTGCCTAAGTCTTCATCAACTGTGGATCTATAGCGTGAAAGAACATGATTAATTTTGCACAACAGCTGTTTTTAATTTCTGAATATATCTGGTATGAATTCATGTTCTCAGACAGTAAACTAAGCATACTGAGCAGCAATGTGTAAGCAGTGAGCTATGTAAAGTAATGCAAAAACCAAAGTATTGCATAAGTGACAATGTAAGGGTATTTGTAGCAACGTCTGCTATAAATAGCTTCTGATTAAGAACAGATAAATCAATTAGATAGCAATAAATTGTCTCACTAGGAATACTTGTCATTGTAAATGTGTTTTACAAGGAAGACATGTAGTAGCAGTAATAAGTTAGTAATAAGTTAGATCAATTATCCTGTTTTTTTTTCTGAAGCAAAAATAGCCTTAAATTGAAAGTTATTTTATGTAAAACAGTCACTGATAACAATATTTAAAGAGGAGTTCCATCTGAAAAAAAAAAAAAAAAAGTCAGCAGCTACAAAAACTGTAGCTGCTGACTTTTAAAATACATCCACTTACCTGTCCCTTGGTCCAGCAGTGTCCTCACCACCGCTGGTTTCACTGGCTGTCTTCTCTCCCTGGCGCCGGCATCTTCAGTGTGGGCACCCGGCTGTGACAGCTTGCGGCTTCACAGCCGGGTGCCCACTGCGCATGCGTGAATGGCCCTGTAGTCTTCTGGGACCTGTCACATGTCCCAGAAGACTATGGGGAGGGAGGGGGGGGAGAACAACTTCCGCTTCTGATTGCCTAGGCAATTGCAAATTTGGGTACCTGCTCCCACCCGTCTCCCCAAAGGTGCCAATCCATAATGGGGAGCAGGGGACACAGGCTTAAAGCGGAACTTCCCCTTTTGGGTGGAGCTCTGCTATAAAATACATATTAAAGCTTGTAGTATGTGCTAAAACATACATAGGTTGGTGTCTGCTGTGTAGGGGCAGTGATATTTGTTACAACGTAAGACACTGTTTACCTTTTTTTACCTTTATTGAAGTGTGATGAATAACCTGGTGCAGCAAGTTGCGCTGCATAGAAATGCAGCATGTCTGTGATTGTGATTCTTTAGTTTGGATGTCAGAAAGAAGGGTTTCTAACTTAGCCGTGTGGATTTTTTTTAGTCTAGAGCTTAATTTTATGATTATAATTATGTCTCGCACATATGTCTTGTGGGCATTCCAGTTAATAATACGTCCTGTTGTCTGAGAGTTGTTAAATGAAAATACTCTTTTAAGTGTTGGTTTACTTCTTGTTCTACTTCTGGTGTCTGGATCACTGCATCATTGCATCTCCATTGGTGTGTTGTTGCAAAAATATTTCCCTCCTCTATCTGTATTGTGATAGGCGCATTGGTCTGACCATGTGATATCGTGGATCGAGGAGTCGGAAATTCTCTGCAACAA